TATCTGTGAAAAAGTAAAATTTTTTTGTTGAGGTCGTTGGTGGTACTTAACAAAGGCTCTTTCTAATCTTGTCTGTATGGATTTAAAGTGTGAACATGCTTCTATTATTGGTAGAAAAATCAGCCTGTTTGCTCGAGCCGTAGCAGAGAGATATGCAATTTTTTCTAACTCTAGTCATTTACTGGACACCCTATACTGTTAGTAAAAGTCCTGTACTTTCAACAACATTCTATGTCTGTTCATTTAATGATTCTTCAAATAAAAATTTAGAAACAGCTTATAAAATGATGAGTTCTATCTATACAGACTTTGTCATACCGTTGTTATTAACTTTTTCATCAATTGTCCTTACATTAACACATATTATTCGTCATAAAATCACTTTAACTGACTTAGAAAGAAATTTATGGCAGTCACTAATAATGCAGCAAATTTTGAAGCACAAAGATTTCTTTATATCACCGCTAGTTATTATTATTTGTATGTTTCCAGAAGAATTACTGACAAGTATTGCCGGAACATATTGCATAGAAAAAAGTATGCAAAAATTTTATCTGCGCTTGCATATTGCTCTCGACTTTCTATTATATATGCCTTTCGTCCTTACATTCTTTATCTATATTTATCCTTCAAATGTCTATATAAATCTATTTCGTGAAATGAAAATGATAAAATCCATTAAGCTGGAAATTTTGAGTCGTTGCAGTCGTGCATCTTCAAATATCGTACCAGGAGAAACTGACGAGCAAATTGTCGAACAAACAAATCTATAAGTGTGCATAGTGTCTACCATTCGATTAAGGTCAATATATCTCCTCGTTAATAAATTTGACTCGAACTCATTTCTAAGCTTTCTCTAGAAATGCATCTGACTCTCACTCAAAAAAAAGCACTCTTTTCTAAAAAAAAAACTTAGGTTTATTTAAAAATTTAATAAAAATTTTTTCATCTGAGTTTGTATATCGTCACAATACTCTTTTTTACACATAAGTATACTATTATATTTACACATCTCAAATTACTTTTCGATTCATAACCAACCTTTTCAGTTATCAATATCATCACTTCTTTTATTCTTTTTATATACATTTTTTTCACTTTTTTGGTGCCTTTTGACAGTGGTCAGAAGTGCACATACTCTTCCTATAAATGTTACGCGCAGCTATCCACATGTTTTCTGTTGTGTTTATGCATTCGCCCGTTTTTTCTCACCTCACCTCCACATAGTTACACTCCCTTTTTCTTGTGGAACTCACATATTTTACGAAGAAAAATAGAGAATATAAGTTTTAAGACAACGTTTTCCGATTTTCCTTCCCCTATTACGTTATCATGGGAATCGAGGTCAAACGCTATTGAGTACAATTGTTTCCCTAGCAACCGACAGGATGGGTGTTTTTACTATTTATTGAACCCATTTTCTTTAGTAATAGGGTGTTGCTGACAAGCTTTTTATTACGTACTGTTCGCTTTCCTCTTTCTCTTTATATTATACTCTCTCATTTTTAACTGTATATTGACCGCTCTGTCCTCCGTTTTCTTCGTATTCTACTCTTCTCCTCTGTACATGCTCTTATCTCTTGACTTTGTTGTGTTATCCTTGTCCCTGCTTTCATGCATTCTGAATCTCATTATTTCACTTTGCATTGTTCTCTATTACTTCCTTACTCACGCGGTTCATCGGCCACTCTCTATCAACATCATCTGATTGCCACGTAATCATGTCGCCTGATGAACCAGCTATCCGAGTGCCAGTATCGATGCCAAGTAATTCATATCTATCTTCAAATGTATGAATATTATTGATGCAACATCCTCGCGATCACATTCAATGTAATACATGAGCATTCGAATGTTTATAAAAGAAAAACTACAAAAATACGCAGTCGTCGATAATAGGAAGTCGAAAAATATCAATCCAGTATCATGTTGATCTCTATTCGATTTACTAGCGGTCAAAGTTGAAACAATAAATATACTATTATCGAGAGCGGAACATCATGCCAAGCTTACCATAAGATATAAGTATATACTCATGGATTTGAAAATCATTGATTAAACATAAATATTCGAAGGAATAGTCGAAATCGGTGCTGTCATTTAATTGTAACTTGACATTATCTTTGTCTAGTCTCACTTCGCTGACTAATTCTAATCAGTCTAACAACTGTGAAATGCACGTCCAATTAGCATCGTCGAAGATAAAGGCTTCCTCACTGTCATTCAACAATATCTAAACTGAAGTGGTGGTAAGTAAACTTAAAATTTGTCATTGATCTTTCAATGTCTTCACTTGAATGTTTTCAGAGTGATTTCTCAGCTGTATAAATGCGGGATGTGGGTGTGGGTGAATTGAATACATACATCTACACCTACACCCATACCCGAGCCTTTTGATAATCTGCGAAACTATTGATTGTTCCGTGTAAAATTTACGAAACTTGCAAAAGGTTTCGTTGAAGACTTACGTAACCTTTTGAAATCTACGGAACTTAAAAAAGTTCTGAACAACAATCTCGAAACGATTTTCATTTCATCGAACCTAAAATCGTTCGGCATAAAAGTGCAGAACTTTTAAAGTTCAGTAATAAATCGAATTTTTTTAGAGTGTACATGAGTATTCTTTTTGAAAATTCAGATACACAGAAATCGAGTGTGGAACCTTGCTGTATATGATTAGAGTCAGAATTAATATGCTCTATCTGTTGATGAAGCTTTCATCTGGTTGCAATATATTATTAAAATGTTGCAAAATGATTCTTCGAACGTGACTAGATATGGTTAGAATCGTATATAGTTAGTGTATGGTTTGGAAAGTATGCTACCGCGTTGGAATGATCGGTTAGAGATGTTGTATTGTTGATTGTAAGTGAAGGTTCAGCAATATGAAATATATTGAATGTCAAATGTGATTTACGTAAAGTTATGGAATTTTAATTAGTCTGAGAAGGTTTTTAAGCTTATGAAAAGTTCAAAAAATTCTAATTTATTTGACATCTGTATCTGTTAGAAATTTTTTTTCTTGATTTATCTAATTTTCGTTAATATGAATTGATCACTCGTATTGTTGAATTGATGTGCTCTCGGTAACTTAACATAATATGTTGGTATTTTATGGACTGAGGTCGTTATTCTATAAGTTTTTTTTCTCATTGAGTGGCTTTATTTAATATTTGATTGGTCGTCGTGGTAGCTTCACATCGATGAAATCGGCATAATACAAAAAAAATTGCGTGAGCAATCATGCAACACGTATAGATATACAAAAAAATACGCTTAACAACTTCTTTGTTTCGTTCTTTTGTATTCTCTATTCGTAATGAAAAAGAGGAGATAGAAAGAGCAAAACATAAGCAGTCATTTTTTGTTTCTTTTCTCGGCTGCAAGTAATACAGGTATGTGATAAATATGAATAAGGTAATCGATCTTGATTCACTGAATAAAATATCCTTTTTTTTCAATCAAGGATAAGAATGGCATTCTATCTTTATCTATTGTAAAAAAAAGTAAATGATCTAGCTCTCTAGATTCAGATAGGGCTTAAAATTTTGCAAGTAACATGCTTAGATAAAATTTGAAAAACTATTACCGCGAGATTCAAAATCAAATAATTTACATGAGCAGTCATGCGACACGTATAGATATACAAAAAAATACACCTAACGACTTCTTTGTTTCGTTCTTTTCTATTCTCCATCCGAAATGAAAAAAAAGGAGATAGAAAGAGCAAAACACAAGCAGTCATTTTTTGTTTCTTTTCTCGGCTGTAAGTAATACAGGTATGTGATAAATACGAATTAGGTAATCAATCTTGATTCACTGAATAGAAAGTCCTTTTTTTGTCAATCAAGGATACGAAGAGCATTTTATCTTTATTGATTGTACGAAAAGTAAAATAAAGTAAACCGACGTAAAATCGCTGAAATACTTTACTTTACTGAGTCAAGTAAAGTTGGTCAACTTTATTCGAAATGTAAAGTGAATTACAATACTTTAAATTTTGAAGCTACTTTTCGCCAAGCCATATTTTACAAGCCCAATAATAATTTCTGAGTGGCAATTACAGCATCATATTGATGAATTTTTAAGGACTACTTGGACCTAGAACTAGATTACTTATTTTAATTTTATATCAAGCCTAAACTGATTACTTAATCATTAATATTACATTTAAGTTGTTCTGTTAACTTGATCAAAGATTGTCAGGATGGAAGAATTCGAATCTAAAGATGGTTTGTGAAGAAAAACATATAGTCAATTTTTATAATACTCAGCTATTTTCTTGGAACAGATTTTTCTGGTTTAAAAAAATCGAAATGACGTAGTATAAAGCTTTTAGCATGAGATTTAAAATGAACTCGAAAAGTTATGAGCAACTATTCTTAGTCTTTTTTCACCATCGCATAAGAATCTAGTTACATACTGAATAATATTCTACTAGTCATAAAAAAATATTTTAACGTGATTCTTAAGAAGCAAACGAGCCTATTGCTCCAGGGAATGAGGATAAGTGTACATTTTTGTTCGATCTATTGTAGGACTCTCGCAATTAGTTGTCATGGACGTGTTCTCAAATTACGATATGGTACAATTCATAAGAGATTTTATTCCTCAACATGCTCTTCGAATCATAGACTATTTCGCACCGTCGCTGAGTATGGTAAAACCGATTGAACACTATGACGCTGTGGAAGTTGTTCCGATTGAAACAGCTGTTGAACCGTTGGTTTCGCTGATTCCCGATATTAAGGAAATGGTTGCCAAAGCGAAAGAGAAATGTGATCAACCAAAAGATGGTTTGACAATAGATGAATCTGCCTCAATTATGCTCTATTCAATGGAATGGCAACCAAGAGAAAAATCGTTGTATGTTATATTGAATAGCACTCTACGAGCTGAAGATCGAGAAAAAATACAACCGTGGGAACTTTATATAAAACTTTTTGTCTCTTCACTTGAGAAATTGCCATCAATTTCTCGAACCATTTATCGAGGAGTAAAATTGGATTTGAGTGCTCAATATCCACAAGGAAAAACATTTGTTTGGTATCCATTTTCATCATGTACTAATTCAGTACAAGTACTTCAATCCGAACAATTTCTTGGAAAGACAGGAACCAGAACTCTCTTCAATATTGATTGTGAATCCGGCAAAAATATTCAAAATCATTCATTCTTTCCGAATGAAGATGAAATACTATTGATTGCTGCTCGAAAACTCCATGTTACATCATGTCTTGATTCTGGCAATGGTCTTACCATTATTCAACTCAAAGAAGTTGGAGCAGACGATCCCCTTCTAGGATCTGCGCGTAGAGACAATACATCTTCTGAAGCGGACAATATATCTTCTGAAACGAGCACTGCATCTGAACCAAATCATCAAGAAGCTTCGGTAGCTCCGGATCTGATTTCCTTTGATCCTCAAGATCTAAATCCACTCAAGGCTGCAAATATTTCGAATTTGCCTGGATTTCCATTTTAATTTATTTTTATATGAACACTAAAACTCTCAAAACATACAGAATGGCTGCATGTTCATTGCGCTGTTATCATTTTAATCATTAATTTCAAATAAAAGAAACTGCTCTTACATTATTTTCGGGGATATTTTTTTTGCAAACACATTATATCATTATTCCCTCGACTGTAGGGATGGTCATGTGAAAAAAAGTGAAAAGAGTTTGCCTATCTGTCTGACTGGCTAGTTGTTTGAGGCAAGGTAAAAAAAAACATCAAAGATGAATTTCTTGATAAAGGTTGACGAAAGTAAATCGAAGTTGGAGAGTCCAAATCTGAAATCAGTTTCTCAAAATTTTGAGTTGAATTTTATTTTTTTCTATAGCTACTTAATGCGTGTATAAAAATGACTTAAATCGGTGACCCTTGATTGAGCAAGAGTTGGTTGTAGGTTATGTAAAGTAGTTTATGGAAAAATTTGCTTTGATATATACGTATCGTTATTACAGTCCTTTGATCTCAAATTCAGATTAAGGGAGGAATTGTTTGATGATCCCTCTTACAATAATTTCTCATTGTTTAATCATCATACTTAGGGGTTCGATAGAGGACACTAATATGAGTAACAGATCATTGAATTGAATGTATAAAAACGTTAAAAGAAAATGTGTGAGAACAAAAGTGTGACATCATTTTTTCAAATTTTTAAGTTTATATATTTTATATAGATATCAACTGATTTATACAAAAAAAGTAACATTTTAAATGCCTCTTAAGTATTCTAATCACTAAGTTCCATAGTCCTATTTACGATGTTTGTACCTGATGAAAATTATTCAATGTTATCATCTATTTCGATATTGATATCATCAGCTTCATCTTCATTTTCTTCTTCTTCATAAGCTCCTTCATAATTCTTCACATTCTTTAGATTATTTATAGATCTTTCTAAGAGGGGATTGTCGTCAATAAGCAGATCACAATATTTATGAGCATGCGCAATCATATTTCTGACCATTTCTGTCGATATTCCGTCATGTTCACCATCATCACCATAGAAACCTGCCCTTGTTTGTTCAATTAATTGCTGAACAGTTCTGCATGGCATGAATTGTTTAGCAGCATAACCTTTAACATACGACCAGATCCATTCAATTGTTTGAAGCTGAGGAGTATATGGTGGGATTAATACAAAATAATGGAAATCAGGTACACTAGGTTTTACAGGTAATGATTTATGTTCGAATAATTTCTCTAGTAATGTCTTTTGAAGATCCGGGTATTGTTTGATCGATCTTTCCATAAACACTTGTAATTCTTCTTTATAAGGACCGGATGGACCATTCATGTGCCATTCACCAGCTTCAAACATTTTTGCTTGCCCATTTCGAATGATTACTATACTGTGTACCTTTTTAGAGAGAACAAGATTAATCATGTCGATCTTTGACATTGATTTTATATTGACATAACCTTCACCTTGTTCTTTATGATATGGAGCATTATCCAATACGAGAATCATTCTTTTATCATAACCATATTTTGCTTCAAATACAGAAAATAAATGTTGATCAACCCATAGGCGAAAATTATAACCATCCATGTTAAACTGATAATCACCAAAAGGATTCTTAGCTTCATAAATCAATTCGGCAGAAATTGTTTTATTTGTTGATGAATCAATTTCATGTAGAAGACCATCACTAGTAATACCATGTTCTATTATATCATCCATATAACAGACTACTGCTTCTTTATTCTTCTCTAGTTTGAGAACAGAGCTATACTTGATTAAGAATTGACCAATACGTTTGATTCGATTAGCATCTTGTGTTAACTTCATAGAATCTTTCAACAAGCCATACGATAATTTCATTTTGTCATGCATGAGATAATACATCGGCCAATAACCTATTTGTTTATTATATATATCCACAATGGCTTGTTGTATATCTTTAACTGAATAGTTCTACCTTCAGCACGACGATCCATAATAGTAGTTATAATGAAATGAGGTAAAGACATAAATAATTCTGTTGATTGATTACCTAATGAACCACCTTTTGTATCTGATTCAACATGTATCTCTTTATATTCATGCCAATGTGCGACCAGTGCACGTAATGCAGAAGGACCACGACCCTAATATAGACCAGCTTTAGCAACAGCTTCTGTTTGTGTTAAATCAACATTTTCTAACATAAGATTAAATATAACTAATAAAGCAGTTGTATTATCACAATAAGTTGATGGAACACCTTGATGTGACCATTTAATATCATTTATCCATTGTCTTAATTGAGCTTTATATTTTGATATTTCTTGTCGACGTACAGCTCGTTGTCTTCTTTCATTTACCATCATCTGAATTGATGATGACAATGTTTTCCTTTTACGACCAGCACCGGGACGAAAACCACTACAACGAGATTCACCATTATAATCAGAATCACCACCATCATTATCAGGCTCAATATCCATTTATATAATCAAGAAAAAGGTCAGAAACACGTAAGACTGGTATAAAAAGATCAAAATACTATAGGTCTTATCTATGCATGAGATAAGTCATTATTTCTATTTCTCAATAGCTGTGGCTATTCGAAATAGCGTTGATTGTAGCGTGTCACCGCCTCTATACAACCATAGTCATAATATATAATATATACCTTTTTTTACATATGAAAAATAAAAAAGACTAAAAAATACGAAAACTGAAAAAAATCAAAATTTCAGTCTGATTTTCAGACCAAAGGACTGTACTATTTTGTTTTTTGAGTTCAAACAAGCTCGGAATGTTTTTTTTTGCAGTGCCACTAAACAATCAAAGTTCACATTTCTGTTGAAAGAAGACCATCGAAAACAAGACAGCTTCCTTGGTTTCTTAGTGAATTTTTGCGAACCAAACGTATTCCAAAAGTTTCAGATTTTATGAAACTTTGCGAGGCTTCAAAAGACTTCAAGAGACTTCATCGGACTTCATGAGTGAAGTCTCCGCTGTTTTCCCCTAGCATCAACCGCTCTCATATACACATGTTCCTTGGCTTTATATACGCAAGCATCAAGGTTAGGCAAACATAACAATATAACAGTGTGAATATAATACTAAAAGATAGGGACAAAGCGTAGAACAAGACAAAATGTAAAGTAAGGATAAAACACGCGATAAGCACGAAATAGTAGACACGTTTAACTTTGAGCATTACATTTTGTGCTTGAAATTAATTTACGCTACTTTAAATGACTTCATGCGTACTTTGCACAACTTTACGTTACTTTACAATACTTTAAACTACTTCAAGTTACTTTCAATACTTTGGAGTACTTTTAGCCATTTTACGAGGGTATGGGTATGGGTTGAGAGAAGAATTACCTTTACACGCACGCCCTATCCTCTCTAGAAGGATTAATGAACCTTTCATAAACGGTAGAACAGGGTTTCTGACACGCTGCACTTTCATAAACCCTTTAAACGTTTATTATTCTGCGGATTCTTTTACAGTGTTGTATGACAGAAAGCGGATGTGACGTGATTGTCAATACTGTTGAGAAAGCACTATTGTGCAGAGTATCAGTTAATAATATAAATGCAAAATTCATCATTTTTTAGCTCTTTCGTAACGATCGCACTTTTCATGTTGGACGATAGTAATGTAAAGAAAAACTAAGTTCGGTTGTCATCTATCACAATTGAGTGGTTTGGCGCCAAAAAATTCTTTCGCTTCTAGCTCTTAGTTTAACAAGCCTAGCATATCCTTAAATATAACTCAGGCAATTCATGTATGATGAATGACGAAGACAGCTAGTCAGACAAAGGTACATCTGCAGATATGATGATGCAAAGAAGGTCGATCAAAGTCTTTATTTTTTTATTATTCTTCAAACTTGCAATATCGTTGATATCAGTACTAGCTCAACTATGGTAGATTCGAGACAAGGCATCAAAACTCTCTTTTAGTAGATTTTGAAATCTTTTTTTGGCACTCTTTGAGCAGAACGCTACAAGGTTGTTAAACTATCTTAATTCAATATCGATCGATAGTTGCCCTCTCATTTATGATCATCCTGTATCGACAACAGTTCAAGTATTTTCTTTTTCACCTTTTTTGATATTTGCATAACATCCAGCATCACTGAACGATGCACTAGCTTTGGGAGGCATTCTATGATGCAATCGCTTTCATTCTTCACCGCACAATAGGCACAGAAATATAATTTCTGGGAAAAAAACGATAAAGAGAAAACATTTGAATGAAAAAGAAGCGAAGTAAGTCGTAAAAGATCTAACAGTTTGTTCGTTAATTTTTATCTGTAGAATGGTCCTAAATATGATTGTATTAAGTATCTCGATAGACATAGCTGTTGTCACATCGTGGGTACTGATCCGCAGAAACAATCTGAGAGAAGAGAATACGTCAATATATGCATCGAACTGGCAACGCGTCGATGAATGATCCTCTGATGTTGATGACGAACTCGCCGAACAGACAACTCAGAAATAAATCTAATTGGGATTGAATCGATAAAACTATTGGAAAATATTTTCGACAAAAAGTTTGTCGATTTCTTCAGAAAAGAATTCTTCGATTTATTGAGAAAAAATCTTCCAAGAAGCGGTTGATTGAAGCGTCAAAGTCGTACTCAAAGTCACTCGAGTCAAACAAAAGACAAAACGATCATGACTTCCAAAACTCAAGCTAGAGCGATTTTAATCTTACGAGAGAACTACCACAACTGATTCCGAGCTTTTGGCTTCATCTTTGGATTATAGACAGACTACAGAGAGACTAAGAAAACGCTAGAAACGTTTGTGTCCATGACTCTTCTCTTCCAAGATATTGTCAAATATATGTAACAAAAGGCTTTTTATTATTGTTTTTCAATATTGTTTCTGTTTATTGAGGACGAAAGTGATTGACTGCTCCACTCTTTGGTCTCATTTTCACCTTTAAATTTAGATAAATCAATGCCACTAGTCTACTTTTCTGACATACGTTTAACAATATGTCGGCAGAGAAGAACTATGCACGAACGCTTCTAGGGTTTCCTCAATCTCACTGAGACTAGCCCATGGATAATGCATGTAACCGAAAGTTCAGCATCAATTGTGGTAGCTTCCTCGTTAATGGTCACGCGACAGAAATTTTTTTGTAAGATTCTTAAAAAAGCTGGACTTTTTCCCCACAGTTTTTACTCCAAAAATATTATTTTACTCTGAATCTATGAATCATACACTTCATTATATATTCATAATACATCTGTTCATTGTGAAACTTAACAATTGCCTAATTTATCGCCAAAAAAAGTGAGCTTCAAATAGCGTAACCTCCAAATTTAGAGCCCACTTCACCATCCGTATTTTACCATCATTTACACTCCATGTTCTATTTCAAAGGCTATTCTATGGGAATACCCATATGTCCTCAAGGACTATCCTATGGAGCCACCTATAGGCTCCCAAGACCTATCCTACAGGGACACACATAGGCTCTCAAAGGCTATTCTATGAGAGCACTCACAGATTCTCAGGGGCTAAAGCGTGGACGTGGATATGGAGGTGAGTGTAGGCGTGGCTGTGTGTGGGTATGGGTCTTCTATAAATACACAGCCATAGCCACAGCAATACAGTCACACTCCACTCACTCAACCCACACACTCACACACCCACGCCCACACCCACACCCACATCCACATCCCACACCCAGCCACACCCACACCCAGCCACACCCACATCCACATCCCACACCCACATCCTACACCCACATCCACATCCCACACACAGCCACACCCACATCCATCCACACCCACCCATACACACACCCATCTACACCTACAAGACCACGCCCTCAAAATTCGATGATTTTCGTGAGGCTCGAAACTCAAATAGGACCAAGAAAAGATATATTTTCAAGGATCGACCACTTGTCGCATCCGCGTTTAACTTCCTGAGTTCTGCATCGGCTTCCCATCTGAATACTGTGCGTAAGGAGTTGTACGTTGCTGTAAATTTTGTATAAGAGTATCAGCTGAAGCTGAGTTGTTTTGGTCTCTTCTTGCTGATGAGTTTGAATTTTGTGGCGTGGATTGCCTGTTGTAAGGGGGTCCAGCACAGTTCTCGATAGCGTAAGGAGTTGTGTGTTGCTGTAAATTTTGTGTAAGAGTATCAGCTAAAGCTGAGTTGTTTTGGTCTCTTCTTGTTGATGAGTTTGAATTTTGTGGCGTGGATTGCAGATTGCAAGTGGCTGCACCCATATCGTTTTTAGCGTAATTCGTTGTACGCTCACCTAAGCGTTCCTCAAGCGCAGCAATTTGAATCAGAGTATTTTGAAATTCTAAAGTTTCATTGGTTCTTCCAAATATTTTTTCTTGCATTTTTGTGGCTTGTGTTAGATAAGATAGAGCAGTCTTTAATTTGTGCATATCACGGTAAACACTTCCAATATTCATGAGACTTTGGACGAGTTCATTATGTTCAGGTGGAAGTAACTTTCTTCTCATATCTAATGCGTGCTGATGATATTCAAGGGCCGTATCAAACTCCTGCATTTTCCAGTGAATAAGAGCAATATTATTCAAACATTTCGCTGTATCTAGATGATCGCGAGAAAATTCTCTCTGTTGTATTGCCAGTGATTTTTCATAGTAGATTAGTGCCAACTTATAGTCTTGTTTTTGATAATATGCATTCCCGAGGTTATTTAGTGTTTTAGCGGTTTCTAAATGATTTTCTCCGTAGAATTCATTTCTTGTAAATAATGCTCTTGTAAGATATTCCAGCGCTTTATTATATTTTTCTCGTCGAAGTAGAACAAGACCCATATTTGATAGTGGTCGTGTGGCGTCCTTCTCTCTTGGAGGATTAGCGCTCATCATCATTGTATACGAACGTTGAAAATTCGAATAGGCTTCATCCAACTCACTTTTGTGAAGATAGGCTGTACCAATACCATTGTAGACACGTGCTATATCTAATTCTATTTTTTGATTAGCTAATAAGTTTTCGAAATATTTTCTTGATTGATCATATTTGCCCATTTCTGCGAGCAGAATTCCAAAGAGAATTGTCATACTTGTTTCTTCATTCGATTTTCTATTAAATTCAATATATTCTCGAGCTTCTTGTGCTCCTGCGTCAGTTGCACTCAGTTTAACTGTCCATAGTCTTGTTGCTGGATTTTCATTAATGGATACGATGCGAAATGTACTTCCAATATCAAAGAGAATCTCTTCTTCTCCAGCATATTGACTTTGTTGTGTAATGTCAGCAAAAATTGCTGATTTAACATTTTGTTTGTTACATTCAATCTCATAGAATACAGAGCACAGATTTGCTTGCATTGTTGGTGTTTCAGCAAATTTTAACGCTACATCTGGTGAACGACTTGTTGATAGATATCCATTTAATGAAATTAAGTTACCTCGATTAGTCTTTAATATTTCTAATTCTCTTCGATCCATTTTTGTACCACGATAAAATGTCACAGAGTGTTGACTTTGTACTGCTGCTTGTTGTCGATGTACTTCTGCCAGGCTTTTAGATAGATCAGCAATGAAGAACCGAAATGTATACAATTGTTCTGTGTCTTCTGTTCTCAGAGCTTTATTAATTAATCTGTAAAGAAAGCATTCTCGTGTATACCAACGAATAGCATTTGCCGTTGTATAGCTGCTTTCAAATTCGTCTATCAATCCCAATTCCTTCGTATTTCCTCGTCAGTAATTACGGCAGAATAAGATTAGCTGTTGTTTTGCATGCTCATCGCATGGCATACTCAAAATTACATCTTTAAATAACTGAAACCAAAGAAATTCGGCCGATTCTTTCGAAAGATCTCTTGAGTTCTTCTGATCCTTTTGATCATAGAATATAAATACTTCTAGATGCTTTTGTAACATTTCAACATTCTCTTTAATTGATTTAAAGAGTTTCTTTCGATTTCTAAAAACACCCATGATCTTTTGATAAACTTGACTTAATCCATTATAAAGTTCTGTGTCCATGCAGAATATAAAAGCCGAGTCTAATTGTTTCAAATGATGAATTCGAGCCAACATAGTCGAAGCACTTCTGCCAGAAATAATAAGTAGGATTTTTTCATCTTTGACTGTTTCGATTTCTTGAATGCATTTGTTTTCATCAGAATGGAAACTGACATAATCATTTATTTGCAGCAATCCTGTCAAGGTTTTAGCCATATCATCCGAGTTTTCGACTATTGGATCACACCATATTAACATGGTATCTTCAAAATTGACTCTCTGTTGATGTGAAGTGGCTAGGTGTGCAGAACAAGTAGCCGTAGAAACTGGATTAACTGGAACAGAATCTACTAAATCTTTTTTTAGTTTTAACTCGACTTCTTTAAATAAGTCATTTACTAATTGCTGATCATCGGACATTTTTGTTAAGCACCTAGAAAGAATATCAGTGGGTTTTCTGCTGTTATACATAATATAAGGCAATCTATGTCCAATCTTAAAATACATTAGATCCTTGAAAATGATCTGTTACAATTCTACTGCAATTTTCTTAAGAGGAAAGAATGTTCTCTACATCTTCGAATTTGCAGATAATAGCATTTTGTGGTACGGTTTTGGTGGTAAAAGATGGATGTGAGTGTGGACGGGCGGGTGTGGATGTGTGTGTGGGGAAGGGGAGTGTAAATGGATGGGGGTGTGGGCATGGGTGGAGATGTGGATATTGGTAGAGGTGTGACTGTGGGTGTGCGTGGAGGTGTGAGTATGCGTTTTGACAAGTGTCAGAAAACATCCACATCCACATGCATACCCTAAAATTCACCATCATTTTCACTTGGTAATAAATAGCGTCGTACACATCGTGTCAACGTTAAAATTTCGATAATTTCATATCATTCAGAAAAAATAAATGATATGTTAGTCATGCTACGATAGCTCAATGGTTAGAGGACTGGTTCAGATAAGTAGTTATCAGATTATGGGTTCGATTCTTGAACGAAGAATATCATTTATTTTTCTGAATGATATTTATCATCGAAAGTCAGAGGAAGTAAGAATTCAGTATTGTATAGGTACATATACTTCTTTCTATGCTTTAACATTTATATATTTTATGCATAGTTATCGAATTCCTTGTTTTTTTATTGTAGATGTAGTTCTCCGACTTGCTTTTTTCGATGTGGGCTTGCATCAGTGAGTCTCAAAGAGAAAAGGTACGAAACTCGAACACCCTTTCTCGGATGGATGGCTCAAGCCCTTATTGTTTTTCTGTTGTATATTCTTGTGTGACTCTAGACGTGTTGATAATGGCCTTGGGAATTTCAGTTTGATCTGATATTCGTCTCAAATGCTCACGGAAATTCATGAATCGTGCGCATTTTCCCCTTGTTTAGATCGTATACTTTTGCAGCACTCAGTTTCGTTCGCTTTGATGTACATATTTTGATCAATGGGCTAGATATTTTTTTACAAAACCATCTTATAGATCTCCTTACACGTTAAAATATGCATCGCACAAAATTGTTCAAGATTATCGTGGTTAACGGCTTAGAAAACGCATCTATTTATATTATTACGATCGTTCATTTCTGGGAAAATAGAATACAAAGATATTTCATGTAATGATCGTCAAACATTGCTCAATAAAGAAGAACATGCTATTCAATTCTTGTAAGAATCGGACTCTGGTGAATAATAAAACTTTTTTTCGCTTAATCTCATAAGAGATACAGATTATAAGTATACTCAGTATCGCTGGTATAACAGAAACAACATTAATGTAGAGATTATCAGGATATGAGACAGTTACGGCAAGTCAGTTGAAGTGACTAGTAACTGATCTTCATCAATAAAAATCAACCATTTTAAACACCTTTACAATATTTTGTTGCCATGAACATAATATTTCAAAAACATTTTACTTTTACTTTTCGAATTTTTCGAGTAGTCAACTTACTACGATGATAACAATGTAACCGATGTTTCTTGGCCAAAGCTAATCTGTCTTTGTTGCTGATTGATTGTGTCGATAAGTTCTGTCGTTTTCTTGTTTCTCTCACAAATGATGTTTATTACCTGTACAACGTGGTAACGCTCTCAGTTTCGTTTCTGTTTGAATGCCTTCCCCTATGCTATTCATTTTTCTTCAAGGATTTTTGAATATTTACTTTATATGGAGAACAAAGATTGCAATAAGCTACACATACGCTTTCATCTGCACACATTAAATCACCATTGAGGTGTGTTGCAGGGTGAGGGTGAAAGTGTCGGGTGTAGAGTGCCGGTGAAGAAAATGCCAGCAACTACATCCACACTGCAAACCCACACCCACGCTCTTTGTATCAGAAACTAATACATCTGTATGGACTGTTTACACATGTCAGAATATGTTTCCAGCGTCTTCATGATTGAGTAGACGAACGAGTCTTATAATCAGAAGTTAGGATCGAGATACACCTCAAAATAGAAAATCAATCTACTGTGCTTTGCTTAATTTTAGATAGAATGCATGCAATTCTTTTTGCTTGGATGGATGTCGGTATAGCTGTGAGCGTGCGGCGGTGAGTTCATGACACAAATGAATTACAAAATAATTCAAAATTTCGATATAACACATGTAAAGAAATACATATGTATAATTCTCATAAGTTAATTCCCATGCACCAGGGTCTACCATAGGGATGCAACGGTGACGGTGGCCACCGGTGCCATCGGTCCATCGATCGCCGTAGTAGAGGCGCACCGCAGGACCCGCGAAAGTGGGGGGGGGGGTGTAGGGGAGTGTACACCCCCTAATAATTGAAAATTATTTATTATTAGCCGCCAAAATGGATAATACTTTTTTGAATCTATAAAGTATCTCACAAAGATATTATCAGAAACATCTTTCAGAGGTGTCCTGAGTGGAAACGGGAGTCAGGAAATGATCTTTCTATAGTAGTAATCGGCAACTATCGTTGAAATATCGGCGGAAAACATGAAGTTCTATGGCAAGTTGAAGAAATAAACTGATTTTTTACTCGAAATTTCGGCTTAAACGATGGTTTTTGCTACAAAATTCTGAAATATTAAAATTTTTCGCTTTATAAAAAAGTAGCCGCATGGGCATACTCGCCTTGAAAATAACTGTGATCTTCCTGTTTTTATGGCATAATTTACCGCTTCCTACCTTCTGAACAGCTTTATTTGCGAGCAGTCGTCGCTAGCGTGGCCGCCTTCGGCGGTGAAATTGCTAAGAGTTATAGCAATACTTTTTGATTTTGAGAACAATAAGGAAAAGAAGAGTTTTTCATGAGTCTGATGTGAAAAAAGTTTTCGCTTCGCGAAAAATAACAGTTGCGTAATCGCGGTTAACTTAGAAAAACTTCTAAATTTAGTCCATTTTTCCTTCAAAACAGCCTAGTCGAGAACAATCGTCGCTAGAGTGTCCGCATTCGGCGGCAGAAGTATTGAGGACTTTTCTCACATCAGACGCTAGTTGTCTTCTTGAAAATTTGCCAGAGAAAGTCGAGTTTTCTGAGAAGGTTGCAAAAACGTTTTCGCTCCGCGAAAAATTGTTGCATATCAGGTTGCACGAGAAAGATGAATATAAGGTCTGATGCGGAAAAAAATTTTGCTGTCTCCAAATTTGACTACCTCAGGAGTCTTACACCTCCCCCCCCCCGAAACCTGAGACCCTCGTGCGGGGCCTGGTGCACCGTTCACCATTCCACCGGTACACGGACGCCGTAAGCACCAGTTACAATGTACTGCAAATAAAGCTACTCAGGTTCAACTGATTCCTATTAAAAGTAAAGCTGGTGATATCATAATCGAGAAGTGCACATTTAATTGTTATCCATCTACTTCCTGTGATTTATGGTCATAGTTCACAAATTTTATAAGATGTTTCCATATACTGACCGCTCCATGAATACGCTACTGACTGTAGGCATACGACAGACAACATCAATATGCTCATATAACTGAAATTTGTTAGTGTGAGGCTATTTGAATATGAAAGATACTTATAAAAAAAACTTAGCTATGCGGTATCAACAAACACCTTTAAGGTCAACAATACCTGTTAAGACGTCAGGAATCTATGGTGATCGCCGGTTTATAACATTCTACCGACTCATTGAAGTTCAGGATAACTAGCAGTGTGCATTTAATCGCCGTCACCGTAAGTTTTCTTGGTCTTATCGGTCCCATAACTAGCATGATCATCACATTCATCGATATGGCGATGACCGATTTGCGGCATTTGACAAGCTCATTAATGCTAAGGATAGTCAGTAATGCCCTTATAGCTACCATCACCTTGGGTTTCTGTGACAATATCGGTCCTATAACTGGCATCGCCATCATACTGATTTAGGAAAAAACTTTCATCTACAATAGTAAATCGCTGTAAATTATATATTTTTAAGCGTCATCATGTAGTCTAATACTCCCGGTTACAAGAGTGGAGACCTATGGTGATAGGTTGTTTCTAGCAT